AGAGAGAGAGATACGTCGTTACTGAAAAAGACCGGCCGGATCGAAATTGAAATCGCGTTATCGCCGCCGACCGGAACCAAAGTGTGATTTTTCTCGGAGAGCGGCGAAGGGAGAAAGGAAGAGGGGGAAAAAAGAAAAAGAAAAGAGAGATCGCCAATGATAGGACGAGTGTAATCGACGACGTGTCTCGGCGACGTGTAGGATCGTGCAGAGAGATACCTGGCGACACTTTGCTGATCATTGTCCCCGATCGATCAATCATTTCGTCTTTACCACAAGTGATACTCGCTAGAGCGATTAGGCGCGAATCGACGTTAATCTGGGAGCAACCGTACTAGCGCGAAGAAGAGGCATCTCTCTCTATTTATTATATATCAATCGCCTATGTTACGTACGGCGGAGCCGACGTGTGAACGACGACGAGGAGGAAATCGGAGCTCGATAGATCGATTTGGAACATCGATCGTGCGTTTTCGAGTTTCCACTCGCGGGGCGATCCGTCGCGTCCGGCGCGCCGTTTCGTAAAAACAGGATCTCTTCTATATTCCTCTTGCCCTCTGTATTTTTTTGTATGTTGTTCTCCCCTCGCGTGAATGTCCCATATTTTGTACAGTGTGTTTGTAAATTCCGCGACTGGCGCCGGACGGACGCGAGGAAATTCCCGCGCGAGGGAAGGTTCTCGATCGCCGCTGACTCTTCGGCTCTCCCCGCAGACGGAAAGACGCAGGCCGAAGACGTCGATTAACGATTACATGTGAAACGGGATAAAGCAGGACGTAAGCAGCAATAAACGTTCCGAATCGTCGTCGAGCTGAGCTCCCGATGCTCCCAGGAACGCAGACGATGTTTGTCGGGCAACAACACCGCGCCGTTTTGCAGTCGCGTCGCCGATTAAAATACCGAGAGTGCCTGTTGTGTAAACGACGAATAAGTCATGTGCGTTTCCTCGCTGCCGATGGCCCGGCGTTTCGCTGCCGGTCAGCAGCGAGGGACACGAAGAATGCTGTACCGTGTAAATACGTTGTCTTCTTATTGTTAACTAAGCGAGCGCCCGCGATTTCCGCAATCAACGTCGACGATGACGACGACGAGGTCTCGACGCGATTAAGAATCCAATACAATCCAATATACACACACACACACAC